AATTAATTAAGATAAAATATAGCCAATATATTTGATTAGTAAGATAAATGAATACAAAACAAATAAAATAGTGTATTAAAAAGTAACCCAATACAAAGAAAATGACTTATCGTTTGGGGAATTTAATTAGGTTAGTTAATAATTTAAAAGTTAGAGTCAACACACAATAAACAATAAATAATCATAATTGAATAATTAAAGAGTAGGGAGAAATTGAATTTGGGCCCTTCTTGGGCCAAATTCGCTGCTGATTTTAGGCTTAGGCTCAATCCCGTTTTTGTATACACTGGTTGTATATCAGTGTATATCGTATGAACCCAGCCCATTTTGTTTGTATATAAGACTGTATACCGAATGTATACAACTTAATTCAACTTCCAGAACACCTGTTTCAATTTTTGGACTTGTATATCGCTGTTTTTTTTCCGTGTATACTTGTGTATACAACTGTATAAGTCATGTATACAGTCCGTTTTTTACTTCTCCAAGACCTGTACATCAGTCCCTGCTTGCTGGGGGGCCGACTCGATGGAGAAAAAGTAAATAAATTAAGCCTCTACGGCTCATCTCGAGGATGCAAGAGAGAAGGAGTCCACCACGGGCTCGGGGAAAGGTTCACACAACAAAAGAAAGAAAAACAAAATTAGCATTCGAAGATAAGGAAGCAAATGAGACATAACTTAATTGAAAATTAAAATCAACTTAATTATCTCAAGACCAAAAGGGGACCACTGCCAAGGTCTACTATTAGAACTTCTAAGAATACAAAAGATGAGCTACTGAATATTAATCAACAGACATTTGGCCCCTTAATAGTGACAAACTCAACAAGAAAAAAAACCATTGAAGTTTAAGGTAAAAAATAAGGCTAAACAAGGAAGTAATCAAAACTAGTATGATCAACAAAATCCTAATACTAAATTGTGGAGAGTCCAAGCTTGGAGAGAACCAAGAATACATACGTATGAAAGAAAATAATCTTAGTAAAGCAAGCAAACATAGGTGTAGCAAAGGCAGATGGCATTACAATGGACAAGTGACAACTTAAAGTGTAAAGGGGGCATGCCAGACAACAATCTGATCAGTGAGAAAGACCACATGGTATAGTCTTAAGTATTCTATAAAGCTCGCAATTGGAACTAGATTACAAATGGTAAGCGATTTCGACTAAAATTTAAGCAAAATAGAGACATAAACTTAATTCAAACATGACCTGCAGGAGAGTAAGAACGTCATGGTTCCCAAAAATGGATAAAAACCAACTCCTACAGCCCATCAAACAATAGCTAAGACAATATACAACTTCATACTCAAAGATTTTTATTTATTTTTATTTTTTAGCTCTGCCCTCATTTCAAAAGGAAAACAAAGAACATTAACAGTAACAAAGTGAATAAACCCGGATGTTTAAGACAACGAAAACAAAGGGATACTAGTTCAAACATCAAGACAAATAAACGAGAAGCAAGCGATGAAACAAATTCGAAACAAAGAAACACCGACTACAAAAACAGCAAAAAGAAAACTTTGAATCAGCACTAAGAGTAGGCACTAAAGTCGCTTAATAAAAACACCCACAGCTCGGTAGCGAATAACAGAGAACAAACACAGCTAGTAGCGTCATGTCTTAATGGAAAGGAGGAATATTATAAAGGGGGAAATGTTACCTTTTCCTGGGCAGCAACTAGGACATTAACGAACAGACCACGAAAAAGCTTCCACCACCACACGAGGCTCCGGCGAGATTGGAATGGATAGAACACAACAAACGGGAAGTTTCAAGAACTTTTCACTCAAGTGGATTTCTTCCTCCAAACTCTAGCTAATTTTAATACTTACTCTAACTATTATTTTTATTTTTTAACACCAAATTTTTCAACTCCCAAAAAAAAAATCTCCCTCTTACAAATGAATGATCCCAGAATATATAGCCGAAACTCGGGTTCAAAATAATGGGGGAAAAGGGATGAAAATTCAAGTGAGAATGAGGGTAGACTCGGAATTCTCCTCCTCAATCCTCAATTCAAAAAAATTCAAGAACCAAAGAGCTGCTCGTTTGTACCAAAAATCAACCAAAATCCCCCAAAATTCGGATGAAAAGATCGAGGTGGGCGGCTGTTGCAGAGAAAGTTGTGGGAGTTGTTGGATATTGACGTGTGAGGTAGAAGAAAAATGCACACTGCTGCTGTTTGGTTCACGTGAGCTGCTGGATTCGCGTGGAAGAAAGAGATGCAGCGCGTACAGGGTTTGCTGGACTCGGGTCACACTTTGAGGGCTGCGATAGTGGACTGTTTCTCACATTTTTTTGGGTTCTGCTCGTTGTATTGAGGAAGAAGAACGAGAGTACAGGGGTGCTGGGTCGGTTTGGTATGCTGTTGCTGTATGTATTGTAATGTTGTTAGAATTGGGCTGATTTGGAAAGGAAATGGGAGTGGGCTGGGAATTAGTGGGAAAAAGGGAAATTGGAAAGCTGAAAGTAATGGGCCTGTTTTAAATAGGCCCAAGTTGGGTCTGAAAAATGGGTTTAAAGTGAGGCTAAAAGGGTTGGATCTTGGAGTTTAAGAAATAGCCAAATTGAGTTAGAGTAACAAATTCGGCTAAAATCTAAGTAAGACGAATTAATATAAATCAATCAATGAGCTTCTTAATGTTAACAAAAATAAAATAATTAACTTAATTATAAACTAATCGACTCAAAAATATAAACTATCAATTAAACTAATTAACCAAATATTTAAATAAAACTAAAAACATTTTTTTTTTGTGACAATTTTCGAACATCCGTAAAATGTACTAATTATATATAAATATATATATTATCTTAAATAAATAAATAATAATAATAATACAAATACAAAATGACAAAATTACTTGAAAAATGCTCGGATTTTTTCTTAAAGTCAAATATTTTAAATCATTTGAAATTTAAGAAGCTCGATGATTAATATAGTCCAAAATTGGGTGTCAACAGTGCTTTGTCCGCTCATGAAAGATGGGATTAGCAGCAATTTGCAAAGCAGCCTTGCTGTCACAATGTAACTTTACAGGAGTTGCAACATTAACATTCAGTTCCTTCAGTACTCCAACCAGCCATATAACCTCTACAACTACTCCAGCCATACTCCTATACTCAGCCTCTGCAGAGCTCCTGCTGATAATGTGCTACTTCTTTGACTTCCAGGATATGAGTGAATCACCCAACTTAATCAAGTAGCCAGTCACAGACCTTCTTGTGTTTGGATAGGCTGCCCAGTCTGAGTCACAAAATGCTTCAAGTTCTAGGCTCTTCTTGTTGCTTAATAGTATCCCTTGACCTGGATTGGTTTTGATGTATCTCACTAGCCTCATTGCTGCTTCCCAATGGGATCTTTTAGGCTGTTGCATAAACTTGTCCCTAAATTTCATTTTGGCACTCCAACTCAACCTTGTTCCATTTTAACCCTTCAACTCCAATTTTTATGTTCCATTTTGGTACTTTTTTCCAAAGAACCAACAAAGTGGGATGTGTGTACTTCACATGCCATTATTGTGTTAAAAAATAATGGATGAACATCATTTTTCAAAAATATATTTTTTTTTAGAGTTTTCGTACATTATTTTGTGAAAAAAATAATCGGTGAAAGTGTGTTGTTTTTTTTTAAAAAACAATTAGTTAATTTAAATAACATCACATATATATTTTTTCATATCTAGTCTACTTGGACTAACTCAAATATCAGCTTTCTAATTTTTCATTCAACTAAATACGAGTAAAAAAAAAACTCATGTTCATTGCTAATTAATAGCACTACAAAAAAATGTTGAAACACGATAGACTTCGTTGGGTTGTCATTGATTTTTTAAGAAAGAAAATTGACGCACTTTCGTCGGTTATTTTTCACGCAAAAATATAGGAAAACTCTTAAAAAGAAATTGTTACTTTTTTTATAAAAAAATCAATGATAATCCGTCAATTTTAATTTTTTACAATAATTAACAGATGATCGTCGATTTTTAAAATGCAAAATTGCAATTGAATAACATATATAGAAATAAAGAAATCATAAAATTAGTATTTTGTGTTAAATGGTACATAAAAGAAATAGAGTTGAAGGGTAATCTTTTATTATTTTTTAAAATTTTTTTTTTTTTTTATCTTTCACTCTCTTAGAGAATTTGTGATGCACACTCTCTGCCACATCACTTAGAAGTGCCAAAATGGAACATAAAAATTGGAGTTGAAGGGTTAAAATGGAACAAAATTGAGTTGGAGTGTCAAAATGAAATTTAGGGATAAGTTTAAGGGTCTGGATATGTGTTTGGCCATAATACTAATATAAAAGGAAAATAAATCTTATTAAATTAGTGTGTACGCTGATCGATCTTTGAGGCACATTTTACATTTTTATGATAAGCTTATTAATTCTATGTCGGATATGTACAATAATAATGTATGTTGTTTATGTGTCAAATATGGATGTTATTGGTTATGAAATGAATGTATACATACGTCTGGAATGTATATATGGTGTATATTTACTGTAATGATTGTGTGTCTTATATATCACTGAACTTACAGTGATATACACACGACATATGTAATATATATATATGCAACGATATTATTTGTATATTGACTGTATGCCCTACATCCACCATTCATTTATGGCAAGTGGATGAGCTTTCAAAAGTACGTTTTGTGGGGTTAGAAATACTTGGTATAAATTTATTATCACACCGTGTTTAAAACAGTAAATCAGAATATCTAAGTAAACCGTAAAATAGAAAGTTATAAATAAGAATATCTAAGTGAACTGTAAAATAGAATTCTAAGTTATACTAGTGAAATTCCACAGTGGAGTTTGAAAGTAGAGAGACCATTCTCGAAAGAATTCGGTATTCCAAATATTTTTTAACAAAATATGGCGCGCGGAAAGTATATTTGAATTGAAAATGCGAAGGTCATATGAATTGGAAATGAACACTTCCATATTCTTGGAATTTTCCTTTGTTCAATGATAATGATGTTGAAAATCATTTTGCAACCATTGTACCAAAACTCATTTCCGCCATCTACATACGCACCCATTTTCCAATTCTTGATTGGCAAGAATTATGTTAAACTTGGCCAACAAGTTCATGCTCACATGGCCGTTCGAGGGGTTTTCCCCAATGGATTAGTCGCTGCCAAAATGGTAGCCATGTATGCCAGCTCCGGTGAAATCGACGCTGCCTCACGTATTTTCGATAATGCCACTGAACACTCTTCGCTTCTGTACAATGCCATGATTCGAGCACTCACCCTTTATGGGATTACCAAAAGAACAATAGAGATTTTCTTCCAAATGCATTCATTAGGCTTCCGTGGTGACAATTTTACCTTTCCCTTTGTTTTCAAGTCATGTGCTGATTTGTGTGATGTTTGGTGCGGGAAGTGCGTTCATAGCTTGATTTTCAGGTCTGGATTTGTGTTTGATATGTATGTAGGCACTTCTTTGATTGATATGTATGTGAAGTGTGGTGATTTGATTGACGCTCGTAAACTGTTTGATGAAATGCCGGTGAGAGATGTATCGACTTGGAATGTATTGATTGCTGGGTACATGAAGGATGGGTTATTCAAAGATGCTGAGGAATTGTTTGAGGAAATGCCAATTAGGAATATAGTGTCGTGGACAGCTATGATTTCTGGATATGCTCAGAATGGTTTAGCTGATGAGTCGTTGCAATTGTTCGATAAAATGTTGGATCGTGACTCGGAGGTGAGGCCTAATTGGGTGACGGTTATGAGTGTTTTACCTGCTTGCGCTCACTCGGCTGCACTAGATCGTGGGAGGAAGATACATAGTTTCGCTAGAGAGACAGGATTGGAGAAGAATCCTTCGGTGCAGACAGCTCTTATAGCCATGTATGCTAAATGTGGAAGCTTAGTTGATGCTCGTTTGTGTTTCGATCAGATAGACCCAAGGGAGAAGAAATTGGTTGCTTGGAATACAATGATTACTGCTTACGCATCCCATGGTTGTGGGCGGGAAGCTGTTTCAACGTTTGAGGATATGTTACGAGCTGGTATACAGCCTGATAAAATCACATTTACAGGTTTGTTATCAGGTTGTAGCCACTCAGGTCTTGTGGATGTTGGACTGAGATATTTCGATTGTATGAGTTCGGTTTACTTTGTGGAGAAGGGACATGACCATTATGCTTGCGTGGTTGATCTTCTTGGTCGTGCTGGACGATTAGTGGAAGCATATAACCTCATTTCTCAAATGCCAATGGCAGCAGGACCAAGCATTTGGGGTTCCTTATTAGCAGCTGGTCGAAGCCATCGCAACTTAGAAATTGCAGAATTAGCAGCTAAAAAGTTATTTATCTTGGAACCAGACAACAGTGGGAATTATGTTGTGCTCTCTAATATGTATGCAGAAGCTGGAATGTGGGAGGAGGTGAATCACTTAAGGATCCAACTGAAATCACAACGTATTATGAAGAGTCCTGGATGTAGTTGGATTGAATTTGACGGGGAGGCCCATTTGTTCCTTGGAGGAGATACATCTCATCCACAGGCAGAGCAAATATACATGTTTCTGGAGGCACTGCCCGCCAAGATAAAAGCAGCTGGTTACATGCCAGATACTACTTTCGCTTTGCATGATGTGAGTGAAGAGGAGAAAGAGCAAAACCTAAGTAGTCATAGTGAGAGGTTGGCAATTGCCTTTGGCATTCTTAATACAAGCCCGGGTACAGTTCTCCGAGTGACAAAGAACCTTAGAATCTGTGGGGACTGTCATACTGCTATAAAACTTATCTCTAAGATATATGAAAGAGAGATCATTGTAAGGGATGTGAACCGGTTTCATCATTTCAAAGATGGTTCTTGTTCCTGCAGAGACTACTGGTGACTAAAAATGAAGATGGTAATACCTCTAATTTATCTGTTCATGTCAAGATCAGTTACAAAACTCAGATGAGAATTCTTGTAGTCGTTATGCATAACCATCTCGGAGACTACCAACTGTAATATCAGCCGTGTTCACTGTCCACACTTTGGAGGAAATTATTAAGCTCCAGTGGCATTGAATGTTCATTTGTCCTGAAGCTATTTCCTCATTGAACTATCACCCGATGGGTGAATGACAAGCCTCAAAATGATGGAAGTTTCCTAAATGTTGAGGGTGAAGTATCTTTCTTGGAGGGATGTTGTTAAAAACTTTGTAATAATCAACTTTTGGAGAAGCCAGTTAAAATCTCACAACATGACTGGGAACAATTGTTGTTGAGACACCAAAATTGGGAACTTGTTTTTGAGGATGTCATTCACTGTTACATGGAAGCTCAACATAACAATAAACCAGTAGACCTGGTATGGCGTTGGGGTATAGTAATGCTCTTGGTTACCTCGAAACATAGAGAAGATGAATGTTCCAGAGTCAATTTGTTGACCAAGATAGAGTATTGTACATTAAATTCAACAACTCGTCAAAGTGAAAATGATTGAAGAGTGGAATGTCCATCAAGTTACGCGAAATATGAGAATATAGGTCATTGGAATTGGATTATGTTTAAGGCTCTTACTTTGGACTATCATTTATAATAGAGGTTGTTCCCTTGACATATTCATCAATTGTACATGACTGTTTTCCTGGTAAGAAGTCCCTGTTTGTCATTGAATAAACGGGAAATGAAAAAAAAGGTTTAGTTGGGGTGAGAGAGGCTCGAACTCTCGACCTCAGGATTACTCAGAAGCTATGAGACCTACGCGCTAGCCAACTGCGCCACCACCCCGTTGTTGTTCTGCAACAATAATCAACATTCTTAAACGTAGCAAAAGCATTCTAAAATTAAGAAAAAATATACATTAATTAATCATAATTATGTGACAAGTATATAACTATATATATATATTCTCAACAGTGGCATGCATTCAAAGACCCAAAGTTGCGCAATATTCCTGGAACCTTTTATTTTTTTAATCGAAGTAGCCAAAGACAACACAATTCCAGCCCGATAAGGTTCTTAAAAGTATCAATTTCAATCATAATAATAAATAAATAAAAACACCTACTTGCATGATTTCTTTGAGAGGATAATCAGAGTTTCAGTTACTACTCCTTACTTCATAAGAAATTGAAATTAATAGTCTATCCAGTTCCGTATTTCGTCAATACTTGCATTGGCCATAAGGTGGTCTATCATTGTATTAATTGAGTCGTGGGAGCATTTACTCCACGCTGTGCAGGCTCAGAAATTTCGCCTTCTTTTCCTACTCCCAAGTAAAAGTTAAATAAATAGTTTATGTGATTTTCTGATAATAATTCACATGTGTTCTTTTGCCTCCCTCGCGATTTGATGGCTTTGCAGCAATCTGACAATTGCATGCATATTCAGCTCAAGTAATGTAAAGTTGGATTAGCAATATACAAGCACCACTGATACAGTACAAACAAGGTTCACCCCTCCACACATAATCAACATAGCACTAAATTTCTTTTATATATTAACACGTGATTTTTATACATTGTTCTTTCTGATGTACGGACAAGGTACCAGAGTAGTTGTTTTCCGACACTTGATTTAGCCTTTTTCCCCCCCTGTTTATAGTTAAGCTAAAAGAGTTTTTGTGTCAATGAAATGACAATAAGTTCCCTCTCCTCAATGGGATTCCTCAACTGCCACACCCGAATAAGTACAAGTGAGACTATCCACTGCTGCTCCATTTTCTTTTGTTTTACTCCAAGATATTCTCCAACTTTGAAATAAACTGATCCTGTAGGAGAGTGAAACGGAATCATGAAGCTGAAAATAGAGATTCAGAGAGAGAAAGAAAGATGCATGCAACTGTACCGATTTGTTTCAATGTCCCTTTTCGCAAGCATTAATGTCAAGAAGACAGGCACCATTGCAGCACATAAGTGTTTGACTGTGTGGCCACTTACAATATGATAAGTCCAGTTGTAGATTGGCTTATCAGCTGCTTCTTCAATCTTCGCTAAAAGATAAAATCCTGCATTATGCAGAGAAATGTCATTTTACATGCTGTAGGAATGAGGTCACAGAACCAAGAGGACAGAATAAATTCAAACCTGCAGCCCACAGCCAATAAGTGGAATGTGTGTACATCGGAGGTAGCAAAATAGCCATGAGTGGGATGGCTAAGCACGGTACAAATTGCACTGCCGCATAGGGACGGAGATCATCAAAGAACCTTCAGAACGAAAATGTACAATCACACAACAGTTTTAGCTGAAAAAAAAATAAATGATATCAAGTAAAAAGCTCCAGTTATTTACTACAGATCTACACCATCCACTCCCCTCTAGCACACTTAGAAAATGAAAATGCAAGAAAAAGCAAAATCACATCCAATATATTATAATCTTGGATAAATAAAAACCAGAACTCAATTCAATAATCTTCCTAAGCCTAGCTCCAGTGTTCTACCAAGCTGAAACTCAAGGAGGATAGCTGGTTCCTAGTGAAGACACCTTCCTTAGCTCTATAATCTTACAATCTGTAAGGATAACATGATTGCAGAGATTAGTTCAGTTTTTTTGGAAAGCTGACACAGGAGAAGGAGTTGAACAGAGGAGTAGATTCTCCCTTATGGAAAGTGGAAAAAAAAACAGGTAAATTCTCAGTAAAGGAATGCTATAATGTCCTGACCAACACAGTAACAAGAGAACTTGGAAACAAATCTGGAAAGGGAAACCTCAGAAAGTAGCTCGTTTTCTTGGATAATCACATATGATGCACTGTCTTATACTACCCTAATACACCTATTGAAAAGGGGACTTAAATATTTTTGAGAAAGAAAAGGGGACTTCAATATGTGCAGTAGATATAACTTATGCAAAACCAGTGATGAGAACTTTAAGCATATTCGCATTGTTCTTTCAAGTGGCAGTTTTGGTGTTTGTTTCTGAACCTTTTTGGTGTCATGGTGGGTGATGACTAAGGATGTTAGGCACTCCGGTAAGTATGGACAGAATATAAAGAAACCATTGAAATCAACATGGATGATAGTACGTCGGTACCCTTATACACTCTATGGATCATCTAGAAAGGAAATACAAGTGTTTTGAAGGAAGATCTTAAGCTAAACAAAGTGTAAAATATAGAGGCTTACAAATTTTGGTATTTGGTTTAAATGTAAAGTATATATGATTTTGACAGTCTGATGAACTTCAGAACGCCTAACATACTCAGTAGTCTACTATTATGTAATTTTGTATTATACCCACTTGGTGTTGCATTTTTGAATAATGTAATTGTCTAAATTATCTAAAGAAAGAACGAAAAGAAGGAACATGGAAGGAGAGGACCCTCAGGGAATATTATATATCCAAGGATACACTCTGCAGTTCTTCAACTGTTTCTTTTTTCTTTAAAAAGTGACTTTTTTGGGGTGGGAGGAATTTATTAGCCATTGTTGAAATAAGAAGCTTACCTCCAATACATAATACTTACTACACCAGCAAGAATCAATGGAATGAGAGACACAGTTCCCTTTCTCTCATCTATTCTTTCAATAATAAAGATACCAATGATAGACGTAAATGCAACAGTCATCTACAACAGTAAGAGACGAGGTGTCAAAAATAGGCACACAGAAAAAACTTCAATAAATAACAGTTTGCTCCTAGCATTTAGTACTTAGATAACCTACTGGCAATCTGTCCCACACAAGACTAGCATCATTTGGCTTGAGATGATAGTAAGCAGACCCAAAAGCAACAGCTGCCACACCAATATAGAAGCACGTCCAACCCCAAAGCTCTCCTTGCAAGCTTTCGATGCACATGTCAAATGGAATAAGCTTTAAGTACTGGACATATATACTAGAATACAGAATCACAAAGTCAAAGCTTTAACCATCTTCAAACCAGATTTATCTCAACAATTTACCTCAGCTTGAAATAGTTACCATGATGGCAAAGTACAAGACCTATCAGACCGATCACAAGAAAAGGGAAATTTGAGACCACATTCAGTGCATTGGGAATCCCTACATAAGAAAACAAAGGCATGAAAAATTCAGCAGCAAATTCTAAATGCATATATACCCCACCAGCTAGCCAAGCAAAATGAACTGCTGACATGAAAACAGGACTAGCAATATTAAGTACACGATTAAAGGTAAATCTGATATTACATATTGTGCAATCTTAATTAAGGTGAATTTCTGTCATAATGGAATTCGAACTTGTTAAATTTCACTGCATTGAAGAGCAAAGAGACAGAATATTTGCTATTTTAGCTCAAAAATTACCAAATCCAAGTGGACACTTGTAAGATAAATCCAATAACATAATCAAGGACCTAGCTGTTTTTGGTTATTGATAACCTAGAGTTCAATTTGTGTCGCATAGTTACATAGTGGACCAAAAAAAAGAAAGAAAATTAAGTGTAGGGACAAGGGAGGAGATTATACCAAAGGATAGTTCACATTTGTCAATCAGTTAATACCTATACAATTGGGGCTTATCTGCAGAAACAAATCAATTTTAGATAGTCCCATCTAAGTTCACTATTAACCTTTAGGTACTTTTTGTGAGAACTATGGACACTATCAAATAGTGAGAAGTCTAAAACAAATTATTTTATATACATTCAAACCACTATTGCTCATATTGCTCTTTATCAAGAAATCAAAGAAGCTATACAGGGGTTTTCTCGAGCCTATTTATATAGTACCTAACATAATTGTATGATACCAGTGGGAATTCGGACTCTCCTATTCAGTTAGGTCCATAATTCCAGAATTTATACACAAATTTTGATCGATAAACATAAGTTTTGCAATCATATGCTTCAGTGAAAAATCAGAGGAAAATTCAGTATATAACAGAGAGAACACAAGCATTCTGCTGCTTGCTTTGTCCTCCTGAGTATCTACTAGAAACTTTTTCATTTTCTTGTTCTTGTTTTCCATGAATCTGATTTAATCATGTTGTCACAAGCCCCAATCTCAGAAGTCCCAACTCCGAACAAGAAAATCATCATAATTATCATTATTTCGACATGAGATTGGATCACAACGGAAGAGATACAAAACCAATTGAAAAATAAATATGTTACTGGCATTCATCATTCAGAACTAAAATTAAAACAACTCACATACATTTAACCATATTTTGACACTGATAAAAGTTGGAGAAGACTCCGAAGCAACTAGTGAACCAAGAAAACTAAAAAAAAAAAAAGCAACAACAGCCAATTCATGAATCATAACCTAGAACTCATAACAATATCGCAAACTGAAAATAGAAGATCCAATTTTAAAGAAAGAAATTTCATATACTTCAAATTACTAAAATATTTAATGATGCTTATACCTAGAAACTTGCGTTGATCGGCAAAATTATGATATTCTTGAGACTGAGGAATTGCTGGAGTAACAATCATGAGCACTAGGAAGCAGACGATTGCAACTCCCCATGCCCACACACTTCTCTTGCTCATTTTCTTGACGTTTGTGCCCTAATTGCGATGATGCTGCTCAACCTCTTCTTCAGATAAACTTTTTTCAACGGAAGGAAACTTCTCCGCTAAGTCGCTTTTATACTTTCAGAAGCGTAATTTTTCCGCTTAACCCATGTGAGTTTTGAGATCTTCCGGTTAGAGCTGTTTATTTTTAAAAATCGGAATTTTATTTATTTATGGGAAAAGGGTTAAAAATGCCCTTAACGTATCCCAAATGGTTCAAAAATGTCCTCCTTCCACCTTTTGGTTTAAAAATGCCCTTAACGTTTTTTTAAGGTTTAAAATTACCCTTTTTTAACAGCCGGCTGACATGGCAAATGTGACATGGATTTTCTTTATCCATTTCAAAATATATGACCCACTTAGTCTAAAAACCCATTTCGAAAAATTTGACCCGATCGTTTTTGGGTCTTTTGTTTCCATTAGCTCTAGTTCTCTTCTTTCTTCTCCTTCAATTCATATGTTTTCCATTCTCTAGGTAATTGCAGGAAGAAAAAGATGGAGAAACTACATCAAGATTTGTCAAGTTGATGTTTTTGCACATGGCTGCACTACAAACTTGACTATGACGTGAATTTCTGCAGGTTTTCTTAGTTCTGTTGTAAGCAAGTTCTTGAATTCAATTTGCTTGGCAAGAAACTATCTTGAAACTTAGGATTTTAAATCATCCTGGACAACTAATTCTTAGGCTTAAAATTCATACATTTGTAATTTTGAAGCCAATTATTCATGGTTTAATGAAAGCTGTTGGAATGACATCCCAGTTAGTGGAAATAGAACCAGGAACTACAATGCACTTTTGGGATCCAACTGAATCCATTCATCCAAACAACAAATTATCAAATAAACCTCCAGTTTTATTTGTTCATGGATTTGTTGCCACTGGAATTATGACATGGCTTTTTCAAATACTCTCCTTAAGTTCAGATTTCGCTGTCTACGTCCCTGATTTACTTTTCTTTGGAGATTCCGTCACTACTGTTCCTGAACGATCAACAAGTATTCAGGTATATATCATCTTATCTAAAAATTTAAAAGGTTTGTTAATATGTACAATATTTTTAACTATGGATTAATTAATTCATTAATAAATAGGTGGAATGTTTAGCAAAGGGAATGATGAAGTTGGGTGTGGAAAAGTTTTATGTTGTTGGGCTAAGTTATAGAGGGATGGTTGGGTTCAAGTTGGCTCAAATGTATCCTCACATGGTTGAATAATGTTCATCTTTACATTGTGGGCTTTTATAATAGCTTAAACTTTGACAGAGGAGGAGATGCTTCACTGGTAAAATCTTGATTTCATCTAATGTTGACAGATTCATTCTTGGATCATACTATTACCAAAGGAGCCTCAAAGTCTTGATTAACATTATATGGCTTACGTGATGTATTATCAAGGAGAACAAAGAACAAAGTGTTGGTTGCCTAACTGTTTAAGTTCTCCGCAACTTTCAACCTCATAACATAATAATACTAAAATAAACTTTTGACAAGTAAACCAAATCAACAATACACACAACTAAACCAAATCTACAACTGTCACAATTAAACAATATTGATATTAGAAAGGTAGCTCTTTGGAGTCGTTACGATTGTTGTCTAACAACTATTAAGAGTACAAAAATCAGCAAAAGAATCAGTTGTTTAGAGTCATTACGATAGTTGTGTAACAATCATTAAGAGTACAAAAATCAGCAAAAACACTAGTAGTTTGGAGTCATTGTTTCATTTTCTCCTTACATAACACTTAAGACAGTAAATACAAAACAAATCCTACATCCCCTTGCCCCCTATAGGCTTAAGTTTGCCAATTTTTCTCTCCCTTGTAGCTTGTAACTGGTTCGAAGTCATTGCTTCTTTCCCTTTTCAAGTTACTTTTTTTGGTGAATATGGAAGGTTGGTCGGTATTGATATACCATCGTGATCTCCCTGGAAAGTTATCTTTCTTGTCCCAGTATTTATCTTTGTCAATCTTTCATGAAGTCCAAAATTACTTTCAGACACCACTTTAGGATATAAAGTAGGGTCTGAATCATGCCCTGCTACAATAGAGGTCTGGCTAGAGATCTGACTTGAACCAGGAACAGGAATGAAGAAACATACACTTTCTTGAGTGTTTTCTGATTCTATCAAAGGCACATTATGAGATTCTTGAGAGTTTTCTTCATCTTGGAAGACGTCCTCGTGTTTATCATTGAGCTACATAGAGAAAAAAAATTAAATGATGATCGTTAGATACAAAAAGGGAACACATTTATAAAGTTACGATTGTTACCAATGGACATTTTCTTCTGTTATGATTTGGTTTACCACAATAACCACAAGTCATTAACATTCCTTTTCTAGAAGCTGACCAAACCCCCTGCCTATTTTTAGCCTCATCCTTCTCTCTTGTTCTCTTCATCTTTAGTCTACCAACCATCTTAGCTAAAGTAGGGGGCTCCATGGCATGGTGCGACTCTATCTTCCAAAAAATTTCACCTCTAACAGGTTCGATCTTGTGCTTATATACCATCAAATATGCTTCCTTAGAATACCACCAGTGTATTTCAGCAATAGGGTCAATTTTTTTATGGATAAATGCTTTTATGGCATGAGGACATGGTATTCTAGATAAGTCTCATACTCTGCATGAGCATCTTTTAAGTTCTATATTGATTGTATGTCTATCCACACCCTCGGTCACTTCATATCCACAACCCTCATTAAACTCAACCTTACATCGTTGGGCAAAGATCCTGTAGTCATTAAAGAGATGCGTTGCATGTGGTGAAAACTCATTCTTCCAACTTTTAACTTCGGCCTCATGCTTCCTTAACATGATCATTACCTATACAACAATAATCGAAAACAAAAAAAATGAACCAGCTAATGTTGCACGAACTGAAAAAACAGAAATTTAAAACACCTTAAAACAAATATCTAAAATTCTGATTATTACTCTAAACTAGCAGTTTGATTTAAAGTAGATTAAAAGCGCGATCAAATGGATTAATTTTTCATCATAAACGCTACTGGAATCAAAATGATAACACTTTTAACACTTGTTATAACTCAAGTTAAAAACTTTTTCAGTAGCTTAAAACACTTTTTCCTCTTCAAGTTAGAACTTATTCCAATAGCTTAATACATAAATCTAAAAGAATTAACACTTGTTCATATCAGCTATTATGGAATTTAAACGGTTAAATTTTCTAACCTTCACCCTTATTTCTTCAAGCATCTTTATGATTGGTTTTTGTCTGGCCTCTACAATCCATGAGTTGAAGGACTCCGTGAAGTTGTTGTCAACCATGAAATTTTTGCATTTGGTGTCAAAATATGCTCTACACCATTTTTCTGGTGAATAGCTCACCAAGGACTTAGTAGCCTTCTTATTCAACTCACCCATTTTTGTCAGCTGATCTTTGAACTCCTCCTCATATGTACTCCAAGCACACCACCAAAGAAGCTTTTTCAACTCCCCACTTCTGTAATTTTTGCTCCAATTAGCTTCAATATGCCTAACACACCATCGATGATTTGCTTGTGGGCATACATTAGTAACAACATTTAATAAACCCTTCAAAAACATAAATTCAGATTAGTTGCAGAATAATGTACATGAAAACTAGCTAAGAAAAGATGAAATGAACTTAAAATAAAGATACCTTTTGCATATATGATATAAAAGTGACATTTTCACCCGACTTTAAATCCAAAGAATGCTTCAGCAGCTCTAGAAACCAGTTTCAAGTTCTTTTAGTTTCTTTATCTACTACGGCCCAAGCAAGTGGATAGAAATGGTTACTTGAATCTTGTCCCATTGCGACTAACATTATTCCCTTACTTTTTCCTTTTAAAAAGGTGTCATCTAGCTCTATAAAAGGTCGTAAACCTCCTTTCCAGCCTTCATTTAATGCCTGAAAGCATATATACAGCCTTAAAAATCTTCTTTTGCCTTATTCCATAGCATCTCTTGACAAATTGATCACTACATCAGTTCCTGGATTACTCATCCTCAATTCTTGTGCGTATGCCTCCAACTTGTTATAATCATCCGCGTAACTACCATCTAATTTGTCTAAGACAAGCCTCTTAACTCTCTTCAATTTTGACTCATTCACTTCAAGATCCAAAACAGAATCCAAGTGCTCCTTCATGTCTTTAATCTTTAATGCAGGATTATTCTGAACTTTCTTCTTAAAATATTGAGATAAAATCTCAGTTTTAGCTCTCCTGTTCTCAGAAGTCTCATAACATGTGTGTTCTTGATTTAAGGTCTTGATCTTAAAACCTTGATCTTTCCCATCCTTGTAAATGGAGCATCGAAAGGGACAATCAAGAACACAACAATAAGTAACTCTACCTTTGTCGCTTTTCTTTACTCTAATATCCCTCTTATTTGCAACAACATAGAAGTCTATAACTTGTTTAGCTTCCTTGAGATTGCTAAAGGTCATACCATACTTCAAATCCTTGTACTTGTCTAATTTTTCATTGATATCAAGTTCTTTTTGCGTTTTATAACTCTCCAACTCTTCACTATCGTAGTCGCTAGACACAGTTTCACCATTTTCCTCTTCCTCACTACTATCACAATATGTTCCAACTTCTATAACATTGTCACATTTATGGTAATGAATGATGTTTGGAACTAACCCAAGCTCCTCTTTATAGTTATCTACTGCAAAAAAGTTCACTACCTTGAAATTGTCAGATAATAAATTCTGAAGAGTTCTAATGCCTTCATCCCCTCGATCACATAGAAACCACTAGATAGGGCTGTAAATAGAAGTTGTCGTACTTCACTAAAAGCTAATTTTTCTTTAAATTCTCGACAGACATCAATGTAAGACAACAAGTCAACTTCGTAACCTCTCCATACGTGAATCAATTTTTTATGGTATACCAGTTGTGGTTTTCGAAAACATTGTCCCCCATAATTAAAAATCAGATCAACATGTTCAACCATTCTTGAATTGAGTCAATATGCAACACAACAAAAAAAGGAGAGAGCCCACATCAGACAATACTCAGTGTAATAAAATATAAAATATAATATGTATAAATAAAACATATAATCGAGAAAAGACATGGACCCCCACTAGCAGTTAAAAACTCTAAATTAATGAAAACAGAGACAAATAAAAGAAAAGGGGCATGGACCACTGCAACTAACACAACGTAAACAAAGCATGAAAAGACTCAAAATACATGATTTTTAACATATACTCTGTAATGTAAAAGAGGAAAACATTACCTTAGTCGCAGAGTAATGAAATCAACTGAGCGAAAAATTGAAGAAACAAAAAAGTATCATCTGAAGAGCATAACTAGAAGGTGTTGTGATTTGCAACCCTAAACCTTCATCCTCGGCGGCTGCTACAAAATAAATAGCTGAGAATCGTGCTAAAAAGGAGTTCAAGGATATGTTAGGTTAATGTGTAAATGGGTTTGTGGGTGGGTTTTTGTCTTTTTTAGTATAGATGGGTCGGGTCGTTGGGATGGATTTAAAAAAAATAGGTGGACCAATAAGATGAAGCCATTTGTCTAATTTAATGACTCAACATTTGCCATGTCACCGGCTGTTAAAAAAGGGCAATTTTAAACCTTAAAAAAATATTGAGGGCATTTTTAAACCAAAAGGTGGAAGGAGGGCATTTTTGAACCATTTGGAATACGTTAAGGGCATTTTTAACCCTTTTCCCTTTATTTATTTCCTGAAAATATTCTCCTCTATTTTGGTAAATAAAAAATATTTCTGATTCATATTACTTGTTGTATTTATAATTTTTCACCTTCCTTAATATAATTGGCATACGAGATGTGTGGCAATGAGGAAACACCAATGAGTTGGTTTTACTTTAGTAGTACCAAAAAATGTTTTGGGGTTGAGTCGTGTTGGTGTATATGCATTTTATTATTTATTAAAATAAAAAAGTAAGGGTATATGTTAGTGGGTATAAATTATAGTAAAAGACGAGTATTAGTTCTTGTAACTTATATGACCATAAGTTTTTGTAACTTTCACGGTCATTAGTTTCTTGTAATTCATATGATCATTAATTTCTCATAACTTATATGACATCTATCACATTTATCTACACATCATTCTACCTGTTTGATTATATACAAGACTTTTTCACCTATAAATAGTGGTGTTTATTCCTTTATGAAGTATCTCACGAGAGATGAGAAATGTGAAATAATATTATAGTGTGTAGTGAAGGAGAGAGTTCAGACAAAGAAAATATTTTTTAAGTCTTCAACTATATATAAAAGAGAGTATTAATATGTTGAAGGAATATTGCGTTATTTTTGTGGAGTATTGGACTCTTCAACTAAATCAATTCGGAGTTGCTTGAGTTGTACGACGTTGTTGGACTATTGTATCCTGGAGGGGACAAGTCAAGAGTGAAATTGTTGGATCGATGTAGATTATGCAGCAGTGGCTTGCATCCCCTTAAGGAGAACGAAATATCTGCGTCTCAACCTATAGATTTGTTTATTCATTTTGTCATTTTATTTTCAACTGAAATTTATCTGTGGTAAATTACACTAACAAGTTGTTATAACAAAGGTGAGAAAGATCAATTGAAAGAAATAAAAAAGCATATGTGAAATTATCGAAATTCAATCGAATTTATGAGCAACAAATGACTTGGGACAATGTCGTGACAAAAGTAGGTGATTGCTTTGAAACAACAATTGACGGGGAAGTTGTAAGACAATTGTTTCATACTTTCTTAGTGAGTACATTTTTTATTGTGGTTCGACAAGAGGACCATCTTGTGAAAAAAAAAGAGGAAAAACTACCTATATAGACATACTATACTATCATATATACATATTTTATCTCTACTTTAAAAATATTATATAGAGTACCACTTTTTAATAAATATACCATATATTTAAAAAAATTAAATCAGATACACAATTCCTTAAAAAATGGTAGCAAATAATTATCTTAAAATTACATCTCCTTAATAAGTGGGACATTAATAATTCAAATTAATTTTATCTCTCTTCAATTCAGCCGCTTCCCTCCCCAATCCCAAAACGATTGTATCCTATTCACACTATCCTACCCTCACCCCTTCTTCCCCACTCCCACACGTATCCCTCATTACCCCTTGTAATGATTGTAGGATCTGACTCTTAAAGTTTAAACAAGACGCAATGGAAGTTAACCAGATACATGTATGGGTACATTTTTTTCTACTTCAATTTTTAATATATTGTTATGCTTATCAAAGATTCATGGTTTAGGACCTGTAAACTTTTTTTGGCAAACCACATAAATCCCACTAGTTTAGTTCTTAATTATTAAGATTCTCAATAGTTTCAAATATTGCTTCCTCTACCATATTTCATGCTTTTTGATACATGAGTCTGAATTCATGAGATACATATATCTGTCGAATTTTAAAATTGAGATACAAAATTTATTTATTTAAATTGATTGGTTGTAACTGATTTCCTTAATTAGAGGAGTAATTGAGGATTTTCAAAATACATAGATAATTAATTTCATTTTATTATTCTTTGAAATAGTAAATTCATTAATATTATTAATATAAGATAAAAACATGTATATCTTGGTAATGTAAATTTGATTAATTTCAAAGTATTACTCTTAAAATAATAAATTCATTAATGTGATGTATCTATTATCGATATATGATGTATCTAATAAACTAAACACTTAGATGCATGAGTGTCATACAAGTACATTCATATGTATCATAGAAGTATCTAACATTAGTTTCATGTATTTAATTTGTTATATGTATCTAGTATTAATTTTAGGTATCTATTTATATATATATCTAATATTAATTTCATGTATCTTTTATATGTATCTAGTATTAATTTGATGTATCAAGTATCAATTGCATATGTTATATCCAAAAATATGTATCTCGAATACGAGTTAATATCACAAAAGGTCACTCAACTTTGAGAATTTTTCTAGTAAAGTCATTAAACTTTATTTTGTATCAATAAAATCATTCAACTTAGATGTTTGTATCAATAAAATCAGTCAACTAAATTTATCATTAATTATATACTATATGATACTCTTTTTATTTATTTACATGCAATTAGATCCAAATTCATTCACAATTCTATGGATTAACCCAATTAAAAAACGCAACACTTGTTTACTTAATTATATCGTGCTCATTGGATTGGCAGAGCTGTTAAACTTGTCTCTGTTTTCATCTTGATATTTCATAGCCTGACTGAGAGTGGATCCAATGAAAGATAACTAGCAGCAATCTGCAACGACAGAGCTGGCAGTAAGCTAATAAACTTGCCCCCTGTTAACCACCGTTTGTGGGTTTGTAGATTGATAGAGCAGAGAAGTTTATACATGAAAGAGTGCTATACCATACTTTTTTGGTGCTTTAGCTGATCGTACTGTTCTTTGGGAAGACCATGAACTGAAGGGGTTTGGAATGCATAGATTGTCAAGTAACAAAACATAGTTTTTTTTTAATTGGGTTAATGAGTAGAATTATGAATAAATTTGGG